CAATAAACCACTCAGAAAACCAAAGTAGCACTCTGGCTCAAGTGGCAGAGTGCTTCCCTTGAGCTGAAGAGCTGAAGGATAGGGCCCAGAGTTCAAGCCCACGACCAACCGAAAAAAAAAAAACCTTGGCCTACAAGACTGTATAATGTTTCCCCTCACTTCCCTCCAAATGGACATTCTTTTTCTTCCTAGAAAATGACACACATGACCCACTCTATTAACACTGGACTTCAATTTCCTTTGCCCCAGCACTTGGTGGATATCCTTCAGTACAAAGGCCTACCATCATCACACCATATAAAAGTATCATTATGCCAGTGAGTCATACCTGTAATCCTAGCTACTCAAGAAGCAAAGATCGAGCTGGGAAGGTGGCTCAGTGGTAAAGTGCTTGTCTTGTATGCAGGAGGCCCTGGCTTCAATTCCTCAGCACCACATAAACAGAAAAAGCCAGAAGTGGCCTGTGGCTCAAGTGGTAGAGCACTAGCCTGAGCTGAAGAGCTGAGGGACAGCGCCCAGGCCCAGAGTTCAGGCCCCACGACTGACAAAAAAATAAAAAATAAAAGCAGCAGCAGCAGCTAAGATCTGAGAATCAAGCTTTGAAGCCAACTCAGTCAGGAAAGTCCATAAGAATTTTATCTCCAAGTAACCATCAAAAAGCCAGAAGAAGAGCACTAACTAGCCTTGAGCCAAAAGATGAGGGGTAGCACCCAGGTCCTGAGTTCAAGCCCCAGGACTAGCACCAAAAAAAAAAAAGTAACATTACCACTCAGCCTCCTCTGTATAGCACTCATCATTCATTTGTCATATGTATTTGTGTCTCCCAAGTAGTGTCTCCCTAGCTAAACAATGTCAACAGAGAGCAAGAATTTTTGTTCTACTCAATGCAACATTCTCAGCAACAAGAACAGCTCACCTTTGCCATGTACCAGCAATCCTCCTCTCAGGAAGCTGAGATCTGAGGATCGTGATTCAAAGCCAGCCTAGGCAGAAAAGTAAGACTCTTTATCTCCAGTTAACCACTCAAAAAGCCAGAAGTGGGGCTGTAACTCAAAGTGGTAACATACTAGCCTTGAGCAAAGTAAGAGTTCAAGCCCTACAAAAAAAAAAAAAAAAAAAGCTCCTAGTATATTACAAACTAAGTCATCATACTTAGTAATAAAATGCAGAGACAATTCCAAAATACACAATTTTTTTTAAAAAGTTTTTTTTAACTATAAAAAAGCTTGCCTGATGTCAGGCATCGGTGCTCACACCTGTAATCCTAACTACTCAGGAGGCTGAGATCTGAGGATCTCTGTTCAAAACCAGCCCGGGCAGGAAAGTCCATGAGAATCTTATCTCCAATTAACCAATTAACTGTGTTGTGGCTCATGTAGTGGAGCGCTCCTCTGGAGCTAAATTGCTGAGGGACACCAGCTAAATTGCTGAGGGGCACCCAGTACCAGAGTTCAAGCCCCACAGCCAAAAAAAAAAAAAAAAGATTGCCAGGTGTCCGTGGCTCATGCCTATAATCCTAGCTACTCTGGAGGCTGAGATCTAAGGATCACAGTTCAAAGCAGTAAAGTCTGAGACCCTTCTCTCCAATTAGCCACCAAAAAGACAAAAGTGGAGCTGTGATTAAAGTCGTAGATCACTAGCCTTAAACAAAAAAACTCAGGCCCTGAGTTTAAACCCAGGACCGAGGGGAGGGGAGGGAAAGGGAAGAGAAGCAAAGGGGACAAGAAAAACACACTTATTTTAGTGTTAGGTTTGGGCACAAAGGCTTATGAACAGCTCCCAGGCTCTGAGTTCAAGTTCCAGGACACACACACACGAATATGTGACTTAAAAGGCTGATGAAAGCTAAATTCTAAGAGGATCACAACAGTTTTTCTTGAGTGATCTGGAAGTACTATGGAAAGTCATACAACCTGAAGATTATAGAGAGTATGGAATTATCAGGAAGGAACTCTATAATCTCTCTTCCACTAGGACTCACATCCCTAAACTGGAAAACCTTTCCCAGGAAAACCTTCGTCAGCCACTTGGGTATCACTTGCTTAGTAAATGTTTTGTTTTGTTTTTTTCTTTTTCTTGCAAGAGGGAAAAAGGGTTGGAGGGACCAAAAATGGGAATTCCTGAACATCATGGATACAGCCTTAGACTTGGAAGAAGCTATTCTATTTATCCTGTAGCCTACCTGAATTAAGGAAGAACTTTTTTTCCCTGTCAGAACTTAAGACAACATTTGAAATTCCCAGACATCATAAACTCCAGGCACAGAAAACCAAATTTAAGCCATGATTCAGTTATTCCCAAATCTTAAGAGCTGTTTTACTTATCAAGAAATTATCCAGACATGTTTTTTGGAGGAGAGTGAGGAGAGGGGCACGCAAATGGACCAAGGGAAGATGAGCAAATGTAGTCATTATATTCAATGCACATTATATAAATAAAGAACTATGTAACTTCAGGATAGGTATGGGAGGGGGGAAATGGGAGAGAACGATGGAAGGGGATGACACTACTCAAGAAGCATTGTACTCACAGCCTGACGTGAAATTATGACCTCTCTGTACAAGTACTTAATTGTATCCAACCTCTTACCCTCCTCTGCATATGGCTTATTTCTGGAAAGCAAGGAAATCTGACAGTGAGGATTAAAGGTATGTTTTTCCTTTAGGGGTCAATTCTCATAAAGGCAAATATGTAATCATTAATACATTAGAAAATTTGCTATGTTCAAAAAAATCACTTATGTACAATAAAATATTAAAATCACTTATGGTACAAAAAAATACTAGTTAGTATGCAAAGTGCTGGTGACTCACACCGGTAGCTGCTAGCTACTAAGGAGGCAGAGAGCTAGAAGATCTTGGTTCAAAACCAGCCCAGGCAGAAAAGTTCGTGAGTCTGCCTCCAAACTAGCTGACAAAAAGCAGAGCCAGAGGCCTAGCTCAAGAGGTAGAACACCAACAGAGCAACTAAGCCCCTGTGAATACAAGGCTCTGAATTCAAACCCTAAAACTGCCAGTAAATACTGATTATAAGGAAATCATGTGTATTCTAAATTACCAATGCTTCGTTCAAAATCAAAACTTACTAAAAAGATACTACTTTTAAGCCAGGCACTGGTGTAATCCTAACTACTCAGGAGACTGAGATCTGAGAATCACAGTTTCAAGCCAGCTGGGGCAGAAAAGTATGTGAGACTTATCTCCAATTAGTTATCAAAAGAGCTGGAAATGTAGCTGTGGCTCAAGAGATAAGAGCACTAGTTTTGAGCAAACAAGCTCAGGAAAAGGAATAGTAGCCCTAAGCAAGGCCAGCACACAAAAATAAGATATTACCTTTGTAAAACAGTATCACTAAACTTTCCAACTTTTAACAACAGAATCACATTAAAGTCTCAAGAATTGATGGTTAAAAAGACCCTGGGCTCAAAAACAGTAGAATCACTTCTGCAACTAAGTTACACATGGGCTGGGAATGTGGCTTAGTGGTAGAATGCTCTTGTAGCATGCACGAAGCTCTGGGTTCTATTCCTCAGTACCACCTAAACAGAAAAAGCCAGAAGTGGTAGAGTGTTAGCCTTGAGCAAAAACTCAGGGACAGTGCTCAGGCCCCGAGTTCAAGCCCCAGGGACTGGCAAAAACAAGTTACACGTATTTGTGGTAAAACACAGTTGATGTTTTGTTTTGTTTCTGTGACTCCTTCACATATACCCTTCTTTATTTCCTCTTCAACTTCTCCAATCTAGAAATCTGTACTTAAATGTATCACAAAATTCTCCAGAAAATATTTGAAGTTTTTCATGGCTTTAATATTAAGCTACCTAAAGCAAAAAAAAAAAAATCTAGTTTAAAATTTGCTAACCTATCAAATTCTCCACATTGCACAATAGAGCAGACTGCATAAAACTTAGTTCTCTGAAAATAAACATTTATAAACTTAATTCTCAATAATCTATTTTGGTTTCTTAGAATGTTATAGGAACAGAGAAGGAAGAACACTAAATAGGAAAGATATGGTATCTTCAAATTCCACCTTTATATGGTCAAAACACAAGAAAACATCAGTTCAGACTAGTAAAAGAACTCTGGATAATTTAAACAAGTATCAAGGTTAAAATAATATTCCTCAATCATCTGTCAACCTGTTCAAGATTCCCTTTATATAAAAAGAGGACACTGGCCTCCTTTTAAAATGCTGTTTGTTGCTGTTGGGGGGTAGGGAGTGTGTGTGTGTGTGTGTGTGTGTGTGTGTGTGTGTGTGTTTGTTGCTGTTGGGGGTAGGGAGTGTGTGTGTGTGTGTTGCTGTTGGGGGGTAGGGAGTGTGTGTGTGTGTGTGTGTGCCTCGTTTCCTGCTGTCAGAATGGGCTAAGCTAAACACTGATTAAGGAAAACTAACTGTACTTGAAAATTAAGTAAAACTATACCTAGCACTCAACACTGAAAGGAACCTTTAATTTAAATGGCTTTCGCTCGTCGGACCAGTAGAGGGAGACGAAGACATCTGGCCTGGTCGTGCAGTGTTTCTGTAAAATTGGGGAGGGGGAGCGGAGGCTGTATTTAAATGTCCTGCTGTCAATCAAAGGACACTTCCTACAATCACAGTCACCACACCAGCTATTACTCCCGAGCGTGCTCTCGCCCAGAGACAACACTCAACGGTGCCCAGGAAACCTGCTTCCCCGAAAGGTGACCGCAGGCTTTGCCACAACATCCAAATAAGGACTTTGGGAGCCCAACCCCAACTAGTTTCTTTGTTTAAATGCCGGCGAATCCCTCCCACGCCGGAGTCAAGAGGCTGTGGCGCCGCCCTTTATTAGCCTCACACTTTGATTACAAAACACACGAGTCGGCGGCCTGGCGGCGGAGGCGGCCCGAGCTCACAAACGTCAAACCCCAGGCGCGGTGGTGGTGGCGGCGGCGGCGGCGGCGACCGAATCCCAGGACCCCGTCCGTCCGTCCGTCCGTCCGTCCGTCCCCGCCCCCCCCCCATCCCCGTCTCCGCACCGTCCCAAAGTTGGTTGACCGGGTGTCGCCGGCCCCCGGGCACTCGCCCGGTACTCTTTGTAAAGTTTGAGCATCGGCGCGAGGGCCCCTGCGGGGAAGGGGGGATCCGGGAGCCGTCCCCGCGGCCCCGGCC